CTACAGGTAGGGGTCGCCGAATTGTGCCGAAACATTATCGACGCAACGTCTTCAATACGTTGTACAATCTTTCTCATCCAGGTGTTCAAGCATCCATCAAGCTTATAGCCGAACGCTTTTGTTGGCCTGGTATGAATAAAGACGTGAGGGAGTGGGGACGCTCCTCTGTAAGCTGCCAGAATTCTAAGGTCATAAGACACAAAAAATGTCCCTTAGGCTGTTTCAAAACCCCTGATCCTCGTTTCGACCATGTTCATCTGCATTTGGTAGAACCCTTACCCGATTCAAACGGATATTCATATCTCTTAACATGCATAGACCGTTTTACTCAATGGCCAGAAGCAGTATCTATCAAGGACATTACTGCTGGAACAGTGGCTCGCGCTTTCGTCGAACGATGGGTAGCAAATTTTGGCTGCCCTTCAACGATCACTGCAGACCGCGGACGCCAGTTCGAATCTGGACTTTTCCGTTGTCTGACCACACTATTAGGAATCACTCGTTTCCGAACGACCGCCTACCACCCACAAGCAAACGGGTTAGTAAAACGTTTTCATCGGCAACTAAAAGCTTCACTATCAGCTACAAACGTTTCACAGTGGACAGACGCTCTTCCACTCGTCTCACTTGATATCTGCAATGCAGTGAAGGCCGACATTGGATACACTGCATCTCAACTCGTTTATGGAACGACACTCCGACTTCCAGGAGAATTCGTGGGTCCTTCGGCTTCTTCATCAAACATGGATCTGAACTCTTACACGAGCAGGCTTACAAACGCATTGCGTTCAGCTAAACCTGTTTACACTCGAGCGCAATCAGCTGATGTTTTCGTTCAACCTGACATAGGACATAGTACACACGTCTTCGTTCGTAGAGACTCACATCGACGACCTCTCGAATCAGCGTACGAAGGACCCTTCAAAGTTCTTCAGTGTGAACCTAAGTACTATGTAGTCGATGAGAACGGCACGAACGATAGTGTCAGTATCGGTCGACTCAAAGCAGCGTACTTAAAGTGAAACCCTATCTACATCGATTTTCCTTCTGTACAATCGAACGACACGGTCCTACACCTGTAGTACCACACACGACACCCGACACACACCTTGATACTTCGTCAACGTCGTAAGATAAACTTAAGACAGCGCGTTCTGGAAGAACGATAAGATCTCCGGAACATCTAAACAACTATTGCACGTAGGACACAAAATTTATCTCGAATTCCCTTTGTATTTTGATATGCACTAACGCGTTCTATTTTTTTCATTTCCAGGAGAGCTGGAGAAGAACGACGAAGTTTCACAAGGAACCGAAATTCTCATTATACTTTGTTTCTTTATTACTATGTTGTACTATATGGTCCCTTAGTGTAAGGAAAGACGCCCAGACGCTGCTAAACATAGCAAGCTATCAGAAGTGTTTACCAACGACAAACTCGTTGGGATTAAACTTCTGGCTGGCCACGCCTTAGGGGCATCTCTACCTCACTTGGGGGGGGGAGTGATCTGTAGCTGTAAATAATTCCCCAAAATCAATAGCTCTTTAAGTGTTCGACATTGGATGCTGACCACGTGTTTAAGTGGACTTGTTTAACTGAAGGCGTTCGGTCATGCATCCGCACCAGATCACGTTACAGCACAGCGTGGGACACAGCTCCTACGTTCAGTAGCCAGATTAGAGCAGAGGCTGCGAATATAGAAGATGTTACTGGTTGCTAGTTGCCAAACCAGAATGATAGTCGTATGTTCATAAGTAAGTAAGTAATCCTTCACGACTTATTAGTACACCAAACGATAATTAATAAAAGGCTTGTTGACAACAGTGATAAGTCTGAGGGACTACAATGAACTCGAACAAAAGTGGAAAGCATGCAAAGTGAACAAAGGGACCTCTCAATCTTCAGCGGTTCAGTTTAGTACTAGAAACGTTGACGATCAAAATAATAAGATGGGATTATAAAAAATCGAATTTCGAGACAATGGAGTTGCTATCTGGTATTCGGAACATGAAAACCTACAATACTACCAACTCAACACATTCTCCCATGGTGGAAAACTATGAAGAATTTAATCCCGTTCACTGAACTAACATAAACAATACAGATATACAAAACAGTGGTTCCCTTTGATAAATTTGAACAGAGAAATGAGAAGACAAATTTTGTGAGATAGTACCATTTCGTGCTTTCTCGTCAGTCACATACAAGCAACATGTTATTCGTGTAAATACAGTTTTGAAGATAAGGTCAAAATTTCTTATTTAGCATGACATTCACTTACTAGAACCATGGTAAACAAAGGTCAACGTACAGTTGTTTTTGAACACATAAAGTTGGACTTTTCCGACCAATCAAGATAGCTTCGAGTAGTCTGAGTGTGTGTGGGTTTTGATGACATGTCACAACTCTAAAGGCTGATTTTGGGTCAATTTGATGACCACTCATCATTAGATGTTTTGCAATGGACGAGGCTGGGTTTCTTGATCGATCCAAATCCCACTGTATTTACCAATTCACATGTAACTGCGGAGAAAGTTACTTAGGTAGGACAGATCGCCGATTGGAGGACAGGATAGGGGAACATATTCCAAGATGGTTAATCAAATCCATGATTCATCCACCTAGCCCGTCATCTCAAGATCGATCAAGAAACCCAGCCTCGTCCATTGCAAAACATCTAATGATGAGTGGTCATCAAATTGACCCAAAATCAGCCTTTAGAGTTGTGACATGTCATCAAAACCCACACACACTCAGACTACTCGAAGCTATCTTGATTGGTCGGAAAAGTCCAACTTTATGTGTTCAAAAACAACTGTACGTTGACCTTTGTTTACCATGGTTCTAGTAAGTGAATGTCATGCTAAATAAGAAATTTTGACCTTATCTTCAAAACTGTATTTACACGAATAACATGTTGCTTGTATGTGACTGACGAGAAAGCACGAAATGGTACTATCTCACAAAATTTGTCTTCTCATTTCTCTGTTCAAATACAGATATAGTAAAAAGAATGAATACCAGGCCGTTTTCAGTAATAGAAACTTAGAAAAACTATAAACTAAGTGAAGCGGAACTCAGGGAGAAACGAGGTATCAACACTGGCTTATAGTAGTGCCGAAGATACACACATCACATCACATCACAAATGCATAGATCTGATTTGAACCATTTGATCTAATTGGTTGCTAAGTGGAATGGCGGGAATGTGTGACATACCCTCGCCCGCTGGTTTCAATTGTGGTGTGACTCCTGTGAACAATGAGACGAGCTTCCCAAGGCTGATTTTAGTCTGTCAAAGTTACTGGCGAAGTACGGTCTTGTTGGCATTCTTCTGCTGCCCAATTTTCATATTTGTCTATTGCGTGTTCGTTTGCTAAGTAATTAAAGATAACAAAGTTAAGACTTCATTAAGTCTTATCTCTGGCTCATTCTATAAATATGTTTTCAAGAAATATATCTGTGTGTAAACCACAGCTGACTGAAATGCAGTCGATACTGAGCTTCCGGGTCTTGTGAGCGTTTTTTAGGACCTGTTGGAACTTAAATGAAGATATGTTTAGGACATTTTACTCCAAATACATCTGATCACACTTGTAATATGAAACATATGTAGACATTTGTTGTTTTGAACAAGGAGATATGCCGGAACGGATTCTAAAGTCAAGGGTTAAAATTATGAAAGATATTCATCATTATTTCACTATTTCTTGTTTAAACATATAAATATTGGTACAAGGGGACACCAGATTTATATGTGCGCACATATTCGTCGGATAATTAGGGTAAAAATCGGCAACATTTGAAAAACAGAGCGACATAAAGGGGAAATTCCGCGGAAAAGCAGACATTTTGGCTCATTTCCGCCTTATTTCCCCCTATTTCTCAATGCATTTTCCCCTTTATTTCCCCTTTGTTCGTCTTTATTTCTCCTTTATTGGTTGTTTGGGGTGCTTTACAGAAAATTGTCATTTCATTTTGATTGTTTACGGGTTGTGATGCTGTCCGGGTGCACGGACCGAAGCAAATGGTTTTCTGAGGTGGACACATCCCGAGACTGACCTAAAGGTCTGACCCCCAAACAGTGGAGCAACGCAAACATATACAGTCTGATGGTAGTCTGTGACGAACAATTAGTTCATACTCCATTTGTTTCCTCAGGGTAGTGAGGCCCATGTGCACCATTGGTTTCGAATCATGGTTTTCCAACTCCCTTAGGTGGACTCGTGGTGTCCACCAACCCGGTTAAAGCGCCGGATATTCACTTTGCATCCTCTCAATTTTGTAAAATACAGTAAGGCCGCGAGAAGGCAGTAAGAAGGATTTCTCTGGTAGTGGCTGTATACGCGTGGCCGTGTGAGAACATTTCGAGAGAGAGGGCGGGTCGTCCCCACTCTCAGCCGTACCACGGCACTTGGGGGGCATGAAAGATATACCTAATCAGTATACCCATGTACTATGGGATGTTCTGTTCAATTGACTGTATATACCATTGCATCAGCCGCATCCTACAAATCACGTTTATTTATACACTCAGTAATTTTGTCTTTCTTTGGTCCTGGTAAGTTCAGCGATGCGAAGCGCGGCATTATTCTGTGAATCTCTACTTTAATAATATATGTTTGTCACACCACCTGCGTTGCTGTCGTCGTAAAGCTCTATGCTTTCTTGACAAACTTATAACTTTCAATTTAAGCTCATAGAGAATGCTTCTGTAACCTGTCATTAATATAAGAATTCATTTCCAACTCTTTCTCCAGTTGCTATTAATAACAATAACCAACTATTTGTTCTCAGATTTTCGAAGGATCAATGCAAGAGCTGCATCTTTTCACATATGAAGACAGTCTACTTTAGTTGAGACCCAGATCCAAAGGGAAAATCAGTTCATCATTCCTGCTCAATTAGGTTTTTAGTACTATAATCATTATTCTATTTAAATCATTTTAGAATCACTGCATGAATTAAGCAATTTTTAGCAATAATAACAAATAACCGTATGGTGAAGTCAAGTGTGGCATTATTGTGCAAAAGTACTTCAGCGTTGAAGAGACATAAGATCAATGAGATATCTGAAAAGTACTTGAAAGAAATTACACACTTATACCTAAATGGTAAAAATCTAGATGAACTGGTAAGATTCTCTGAAATATTATCATATTTCATATGTACTAAGTTGCTTTTGATTTTCGCTCATAGTTATCTTCTTCACTACTCGTTTTCTCTTACATTCAGGGTGATGAAATGGCTCTTTGCCAGTGCCTAACTGTTCTCTACCTATATGACAATAAATTGAAATCTATACCAAAATACTTAAACCTATCCCAGTTGACACATTTATATCTTCAAAATAATCACATAAGTCGTATAGAAAACTTGAACTCATTGGAGAAGTTAGAAAAGCTGTAAGTTTTCAAAGGTATTTTCATCCTTCTTCTTTAATAAATAGTTTCCTCAGCCGAAATTGTATCAGTATAATTGAAGGCTTGGAAGGATTAATCCGATTACAAGAATTACGCATTGACAACCAAAATTTGGATCCAGGCGAAAGTTTAATCTTTGATGATCGTAGTTTGAATTCTGTAGCTGTAATAATCTTGTTATTATCACTGTTTGTTATAACCTATTCAACACGTTGCTTTAGATATAATATAGTGTAATATCTGTTTGTCAATCGGACGAGCTAGTTGTCTGACTGATAATCCTAACAGCAGCATTTAAGATTAACAGCAAGAAGCAAATATATGATCTCTCTTTCGTTAGGGAGGTTCATTTAAATCTGTTTTTAAGATTTTTCAGCACCCTTTATTCAATACCTTACTAGCCTTAACAAAAATAGATCTGTCCGTCAAAAAATATTCGTAACTTTAAAGGTTATTATTAAACCTCATTGGTTTATTCTACTTTGACTTCCTCTCCAAACAATGAGATGCAAATGAGTACCGCAGATGACTAGCCTCTGTTGTTGCAAGTTTCATGGTCAATTTCGGTTTTTAGAATAGCCATAAAACTATTGAAAGTCACATACGACAATCAACTTATTTGAACTTCCAGATTCCTGAATACTACAGAGAACTAAATCCACTAAAGATATCAGAGTGAATAGGAAAGAGAAATGAAGAGACTAAGAATATGGTTGTCATAATTCTCAAGCATGTAAAGTGTAAGTGATTCATTCTCACTATAGATTTCGAAGAAAAGATCGAACATGTATTTCATCCTTCATCGGGTTCCTCAGTAAGGTTTGGATTCCAAGCGGTTAGAATTCCTTGGTTAAATAACCGTTGTTTAATTTTGAGACGATCCCAACTGAATAATCTGTTTCTAATTTTGACTTTCTACCTCCCCTCCCTTAATCTCTTATCGTGTAACTGTTTCCGTGTAAAAATACCCCAACTTGATAGAATAGTCTTATATGCTTGGATGTGTCAGGTAACAATTTGGACACCCTACAAGATTTAAGTAATCTTCATGCCTTAATCTCTTTGAATGTATCGAATAACTCCATACAGTCTATCCATGATCTATCTACATCACTGAATAAATGGTCAAACCTTAAAGAGTTCCATATACAAGGCAATCCTGTCATGAAAACAGCTCGAGCACGAGATGTCATCATTGTAACTGCAAAACGTCTGGGTAAGTTGTTTTCAATGAATACTACTTTCAATCACGTTAACATGCTTGATTTGATATTTGTGCTGAATTTAAAGTTAATTTTTGTGAAATAGCAGTATCACTCAATTACTTAATCTTTATACCCCTCCTCAGGTATAGCCTGCTGGGTAGTGATCGCCAACTCTGTTCTAGACTCTTCCTTTCAGTTGTTGCTAAGTGGCATCGGTGGTCTTGTATGCATCAAAGTTCCGGTGCCATATGTTCTTTAGTATGCCTCCTCCTTTAGTCTTGAAGATGCTTATTCAGGATTCTCCTTGTGATATTGAATGGTTTCCGTGAAGTGTGTCCTGTTTGCCTCTAGCGTCCTTTCCTAATTTCTCCTTATCTGGAAACCGGTTGGATCTCTGCCCCCAAATGCCCTGGTACGGCCGAGAGTGGGGAGAGTCCACTCTCCCTCTCGAAATGCTCTCACATGGCCAGCGAATATATAGCCTCTGCCAGGGAAGTCCTACTCACTGCCTTCTCGTGGCGGGGGTGTTGTTTACGAAAGTGAGAGGACGAAAAGCGAATGTCCGGCGCTATAACCGGATTGGTGGACACGGAGGGTCCACCTAGGGGAGTTGGAAAACCCTGATTCCAAACCAATGGTGCACATGGGCTCCAGTATGCTGATGGAACGAATGGCGGAAGAGCCTGTCATTGGTCAACGGCAACCATGGGACTGCATCTCTTCACGATGCTCCACTGCCTTGTGGATCAGACCTTTAGGTCAAAGGCTCGGGGTGTGGTCCCCTAAGAAAACCACTTGCTTCGGTTTGGGCACCCGGGCAGTATCACAGCCCACACACAAATGAATGAAATTATGAACTCTATTGACGATAATATCCCTGGTCATACTAAAAGCAAGACAATTAACATTATTATTATTATTATTATTATTATTATTATTATTATTATTATTATTATTATTATTATTATTATTATTTACCATATCGCTAACTCACCCCCTTTTATCCCCAATTTGTGTAACCTTACTTTTCAACTTATGCAGCAGCTCGCCCATGGTGGAAACTCTGTCCTATCTAAACGATCTCCAGTCACTGTCTGGTTGAAAGTGAATGGTTCCACCGAAAATGAATACTGAAGCAGTCTTTCTGAAACCACGTACGTCGTTCAAGCTGGCTTACTTCAACGTTCGCACACTAATGCATATCAGACAACAGATCGGGCTGGCTATGTCTTTGGAAGGTCTTAATGTTGATGTTTGTTGTCTATCCGAGACCCGTATTCAAGACTCTAGTGAAGTACTACAAATTCGCTCTCCATCTGTCGCTTCGAAAAGCTCGTTTCATGTGCGCTTATCCGGGGACTCTGAGGCATCTTCGTCTGGTCTTGCTGGCGTTGGTGTCGCACTAAGCGCTAGAGCTGAGGCACCACTAATCGACTGGATCCCCATTAACAGTCGGTTATGTGCTGTCAGATTAGAAAGTTCCATCAAAGTGAGAAGAAATCGGTGTGAGAAACGGTGTCTTTTCGTCATCTCCGCCTATGCCCCGACAGATTGCAGCCCGGATGCAATCAAGGATGAGTTTTACCATCAGTTAACAGTTCTTCTCCGGAAAGCGCGTTCGACAGATATTGTAGTACTAGCCGGAGACTTGAATGCACAGGTCGGGCGTCTAGGCACAGAAGAGAGTCGTCTAGGTGGCCGATGGGGACTTGTTGGTCGCCGGACAGATAACGGGGACCGTTTGCTGCAACTGTGCACAGACCACAACCTGTTTCTGGCCAGCACTAACTTCCGGCACAGTCATCGCCGGTGTGCCACCTGGCGTCCTCCCACTGCATCTCAAGCCTGGACTCAGATTGATCACATGGCGATCAGCTACCGCTGGCGTGGTGGTGTACAAGACTGCCGCTCCTTTTGGAGTACCTATCTGGAGTCTGATCATGCCCTGGTCTGCGCCAATCTCACCTTACTTTTCAGTGGCCGAAGGATTGACCACCACCAACGGACCGATGTTAGTAAACTGGCTGCAACATCTGTTATAAGTAAGTATCGAGCGGAGCTAGCCTCTAGGCTAGCTACCACCCCACCGAAAAGTATAGACGAGCATTGGTTGCATCTTCACGACGCCATGAAAATGGCGAGTAAAGCCGCTTGCGGCTTCGCGAAACGTTCCACTTATAAGCACTGGGTTTCTTCTGGCTCCTTACAACTGATGGAAGCCCGTCGGTCTACTCCGGGTGACCGTGAGTTTGACCACAAACGAAGGCTGTTACGTAATGAAATTGGGCAAAGCTTGCGTAAGGACCGGGAAGCCTGGTGGTCGGAGCGTGCTAATGAGATGGAAGCAGCAGCTGCACCTGGTAACTGCCGGAAGCTCTTCCAACTCATCCGAGCCACTGGCAGCAAGAAGTCTGGTGTGAGTGAAACAATCTACGAGGATGACGGGATGCCAATCACTAACATCTGTCGACGTCTTGGACGATGGGCGGAATTTTTCGAAGGGCAGTTCAACTGGCCTGCTGCTCCGGCAACATCAACCAGTTTGTCCTGCCCCCCGTGGCCGGTGACGACTGATCCACCAAACGAGGCGGAAGTCCTCAAGGAACTCCAACTCTTGAAACGTTATAAATCACCGGGTCCAGATGACTTACCTCCGGCTCTTTTTAAAGATGGTGGTGACTTTCTGGCTAAGGAACTGACTGCGTTGTTTGGAAAGGTTTGGGAGCAAGAAAGTGTTCCAACATCTTGGAATGAGTCAATAGTCGTCCCTATCTTTAAAAAGGGTTCACGTTGTTCCTGCAATAACTACCGGGGGATAAGTCTACTTTCGATTGCGTCCAAACTATTGGCTTCTATCATTCTTCGTAGGTTGTTTAAAACCCGAGAACGATTGACTCGCGAGGAGCAGGCCGGTTTTCGTTCTGGTCGAGGATGCATTGATCACATCTTCACCCTCCGCCAAATGTAAGAACACTGTCATACTTATCGCAGGCCAACAATCGTAGTGTTTCTTGATATCAGGGCGGCCTTCGATTCGTTGGACAGGACTGTTCTCTGGGATTGTCTATTGAAGAAGGGTGTGCCTGAGAAGTTCATTAACATCTTAAAGGCCCTGTATACGAACACCTCAGGCAGAGTGAGGGCATACAACCACCTTTCTCCCTTGTTCCATTCGAGCAGTGGGGTTAGGCAGGGTTGCCCGATCTCACCATTCCTCTTCAACTTTGCCATCGACGACATCCTGGAAACAGCTCTGATGGATGTAAGTAATGGCGGTGTGGATATGTTGCCTGGAGAACGACTTATCGACCTCGAGTATGCGGATGATATTGTCTTACTGTGCGATAATGCCCAAGGCATGCAATCAGCACTTAATCAGTTGACAATCAGTGTCCGCAGGTACGGCATGTGCTTTGCACCCTCCAAGTCCAAAGTACTCCTACAAGACTGGCAGGATTTTCATCCTGTACTCACCCTGGATGGTGAGGAGATCGAAGTAGTTGAGAAGTTCGTGGAGGAGATGCCGTTCCGTGGTAGCCGGTGACCAACGGTTGGTTCATACGCCATTTGTTCCTTCAGGATACTGGAGCCCATGTAGAGCATTGGTTTGGAATGAGTGTTTTCCAACTCTCCTAGGTGGACTCGTGGTGTCCACCGACCCGGTTAAAGCGCCGGATATTCGCTTTTCGTCCTCTCACATTCATGAACAACACCGCTGCCACGAGAAGGCATTGAGTAGGACTTCCAGAGATTCATCTTCTGTACTGGTGCTTCTAAGGCTCAGGACCTCCTGATATGTTAAAGTTACCGCTTCTCTAATCCTTCCCAGTTACTCTCCGTATGTTTCCTCTTCCTCCGGGAGATATTGTAATACTTAGGACTTGTCGGTGATAGTTAACTTGAACTATCTGAGCTTGTTAGCATCCGAAAAGAAGGGTATATCAAACTTCTGTAATGCTTCTTCGACTGTCGAAAGTTTTCTGGCTTTGGCACCACCAGGTGGTCAGGTTTAGGGTTATCTAAGGCAACATTAGCTCCCTTCTTCGGTTTTACGTCTTTGATAGACCTATCAAAGTTTTTACTTATGTATATGTTGTCTGATTGGTTTTCCTAAATGTGGCTTGTTGAAATCCATGTCCTGACCGAAGCTGCTACCTTGACTTAGGGTGGTCCGGCTTGTCTGTCGTGATGACTCAGCCGAGCTTTTTTGGCTGGAACACATTTTCCTTTAGGTCCTACCATACCAAGCAGGGTTGGTCTAGAAACGGTTAGACTAAGGGCAGTAACTTGGGGTTAAAAAGCAAAGTTGTACTGTCGACTGTAAAGGAGTGTGACGGCAGTAAGGTATTTCCCTAGGAAAACCTTTGCCTGCAGCGATGTTACCTTCTTACAACTGAAGGAAGGAGGTAGAAAATGTCGATTCTGAAAATTTTCCACATCATCTTAACCCATGGATTTCAGTTCCATAAGGCCTTTTAAAGTGCGGAGCTAATACAACAAAACTTTTCCAAGAAAGAGTGTGTGTGACTGACCTCAAGCATTTGCCCCTTGAGCTCTGTGGTCACGCTTCCAGGTCACTGAAACCACCACCGATCACAGCCCTCACACAAATCAAATGGGATTTGTGTGGCGCATATATATCTGGTGCTTCCACCGATCTGGGCTCCTTTTCAAGTCCCTCTACGGTGTGGGCAGCCGGAAAGTGACAACCGCTTTAATACCTCAAATGGCACCTAAAGTTATCCTGTTGATGACCGAATCCCTCCCCTACCTCTTAAAAATTATTCCTTCCCCACGACTAATTCTTCTCGTTTTTATCTCTATCACCACACACCACCAATCCTAATAACCTGAGTCCACGAAATGTTATTACCAGTCTCTTGAATCCACACATTGTAGCTTTTAATGTTCGAACTCTAGAATCTCGCGCCATCAATGTGTGATGCGTCTCCAATCGCGCAAACAGGATCCCAGTACTTTCATTGATGTAACCTCACCTTGTCAATATAAAGGATTTAATGGCAAAACCCAATATCTCCAGTCAGCTTGAATGGCGAACTGATATAAGTCCTCCAACTCTCAGTGAGTTTTAAAAGGCTATAAGCAGTCTAAAGCGAGAGAAAGCAACAGAGCCTGATGTATTGACCCTTGAGAATCTTGAGGATAATGATACAGTTTTAACACTTAGATTAACTGAGATCTTATCTAAAATCTGGGAACTGGATGTAGCCCCATCTGACTAATCTCGATCTCTGATCGTCCCGGCCTATAATAAAGGACAAAAATCCCCTTGTGACAATTACAGAGGAATCAGTTTAACTAATAGTGTCTGAAATATTGGCCTCAATAATACTTGGACGTCTTACTAGAGCCTGTGAATGACGAAGCCGAGAAAATCAGGCTGGTTTCAGACCCGAACGTGAATGTGTGGACCAAATATTCACCTTTTGGCAAATTCTGGATCATAGATATACTTTTAGACGTCCGACTATAGTTGTATTTCTTGAACTTGAGGCGACGTTCGACTCGGTTGATCGCGAGGTTCTGTGGCAGTGTCTGTCATTGAGAAGCGTACCAAATAAGTGCATTAACCTTGTACAGGCTCCCTACTCGAACACTTCTGGCCGAGTCAGAGCTTATGGCAAACCCATCGGAATTAGTTACTCTATGCGGCGTTCGTCAAAGTTATCCGCTTTCCTCATTCTTATTTAACTTTGTCATAGACACGTTTTTAGAGATAACACTTTCATCATCCGACTTTTCAGGAGATTAACTTGTTAGCTTAGAATACTCAGATGATACAGTTCTGTCTGGTGAAGACCCTGACAATCCAGAGTGTTATGAATACCTTAAAGATCGATGGAAGAATTTTTAAGATGCTGTTATCTCCCTCCAAGTGTAATGTGTTACTTCAGGATTGACTTGCGTCATCGCCTGAAATAGTGATAGGGAGTGAAGTAGTTGAACCCATCGACACCACTAATCTTGGTAGTCTCATCAGTACTGATGGTCTTCTGTCTGACTAGATTTTGGCCTGGATTCAGATGATTGGGCTGGCTTTTGCCAACTTGCATCACTTGTGAGATATCTTTCTTCCATCCAAAGGACTAGTTTACTGCGTGACGGTTCTTTGTGTCCTACAGTATGGATGTTAAACATGGTCATTAATAGTAGAGGCTATTCGTAGGTTTCTGTTATTTGATCATAGATGTCTACGAAGCATTACTCGTGTATTTTGGGACCACAAAGTAAGCAGTGCCTGGGTTAGAAATAGAGTCCTTGGTAAGGGCGTCAAATCGATTGGTGAAGTAGTAAATCTCCAACTGATGTGGTTGAGATGTGCTGCGCATTCTCAACCACCGCCTACCTTGACGGGAAGTTTATTCTTGTACAGGAGTAGGCTAAAGGAAAACTATTGGAGGCCGAAGCAAATCATGGCATCAGCTTATAAAGTCACTGACACTTGGACTTAGCTATGTTAATGGGTGGAGACTACCTGGTTGTGATCATCGTAACCAATGATTAGGGACTTTGACATGGGTCAGAATCTTTTTCAGTCATTCAGATTCATCCATTCTTTGTTTTTCTCTAAATTGTGAGATCCTAAATTCTCCACTGATTTTTATTTTTTTCGAGTTGTATCTTCGGTGCCTAATGTTTCCTATTACTATTGATGCTGTTACTACCTCCACTACTCTGGAATTCGGTCTGACAACTTCATCTCTATGTGTTGATGGGATATGGAAACTTTAACTGATGCACGTACATACAAGTTCTACGTTGTGACTGAATCTCATGTAGCTCTGCGTATGGACTTGTGAGGGAAAATGATGACAATTATGAACACGTTGAAACCACATAGATATACTAGTCTCTCACTATTCTCTTTTCCTTCTCCAAGTATTTTATCCCATGATATGTTCGTGTCTTTTTTTGTCTATCCCTGTCTTGGCGGTTAGGTTTCTCATTAAGATGATTGGGTCTTGCCTTATAAGTTTCTCCAAGATTGGCTACAGCCCTCGTAAAACTGATCTCTATCATCTTCACTGCCATCACTGGTGGGTACATAGCATTGAATAACGTTCATTGTAACCCTTTCCATTTTGTTTTTATGGATGCTTTAGTGATTCTGGAGCCGTGTATTTTTCATTCTAAAGTTGCTATTTTTTTCAGAGAGCACTAGTGCAATCCTTTGTATGCATGAAGGATGTTCTCTTCCATGGCTAAAGGATGACTGCATCTTGTGAATATAGTCTTGTCTTCCTAGCTTGTGTTCAATGAGTGTGACTCATTCCAAGCAGGGATAGGTTGTATGTCCTCTTTTCTACGGCCATTTGAATGACCCTCCTGGTTTCCTACGTTGTCCTAGGTATCTATATTACTCAATTAACTATTGAAAACTAAGTTCTTACTCTGAAGAAGTGCCTTAGATTAAGTCACGAAACGTTAGAAATACAATTTTCTGCTCACTGGGTTATAACAAGAAAGCATTAATTATTAACTTTCTACCCGTTACTCAATTTATTCGAAAAAGTTTAACCTTGGCATTTATACTGTTGCGTCCTTGATCCGTTTACCTACTAATATACCCAAAATAACTCGTTTCAAACTAGATTAGGACCTTGACACGATAGACTGACTGGTTTAACCTTGAAGCTAGAAACGCCTGAGTTCGAAGTGAGACTAACTAACTTGAGTAGAGATACGAAAACTATCCCATCGTCTGATTGGCTGACAAGAGCGCGCGAGAGAGAAGGCGACTTAACTGGAACACTACTCGATTTATATCAGAAGGGGTTTTGTGGATATTATAGTAGTTTCAATAGTTGAGATCAGAAGTCAATTGAAGCTAAACCACCATGGAAAACCTGGAAGCACTGAACGGCCGTTTCGTCCTATTGTGGGACTCTTTAGCAGCGTGCATCCACGATCCCTCCTCGCGAGATTGAGACCCAGGACCTATCATTCTCGCGCCGTCCAGTGCTTCCAGGTTTTCCATGGTGGTCTAGCTTCAATTGGCTCATCATCTCAACTATTGAAATTACTGTAGTATCGACAAAACCCCTTCGTATATTAACCAACATATGCTCACTAGTGTCTGGCTCCAAGAGGTATTTCCTGGAGTTCTAGTGAGAAGCAGTGACCAGTCGAGTTCAACCAGGTCTGTTGTGAGATAGTAACTCACTGAAGACGATGGCGGATGTGTCGCTCAGTTTTGTGGATCAGTTGAAGTTAGACAATAACACCGTTGATTGCCGGCTCAGTGGTCTATCGGTTAAGCACTCGCACGCGAGACTGATATGTCCTGGGTTGGAATCTCGCGAGGCGGGATCGTGGATGTGCACTGCTGAGGAGTCCCACAATAGGACGAAACGGCCGTCCAGTGCTTCCAGGTTTTCCATGGTGGTCTAGCTTCAGTTTACTCATGGTCTCAAATATTGAAACTACTCGATTTATTGCCGATTACGATTCCCACTCCGATCTGGTTCCGATTCAGATTAGTGTAAAAAGATACACGAATAAATAACTGACTGACAAGATCACAATGCACAACATTTAGTAAATACAGTTAGGGTAGGGGAATAATTTATTTATTTATTTATTTAAACACATATATATTGGTACAAAAGGGCATCAGATACATATGCGCCACACAAAATAATGAAAGTAGGAAGATAAAGGATGAAAAGATAACGCGGACTAAAATGTACAACCAGAAGACTCTTTCAGTTAGGAAAGTTAGAACCATTCTTTATGTAGAAAGTAAAAGAAGGTTGCAGCAGGCTCGCCACTGGCTTCTATTCTGAGCCATATCCGATAACGTCTCTAGCC